GCCAGAATGATTGGGTTAATGGGTTAATGTGTTAATTTTTGGGGGCAACCGGGGTGTTTCGAAACCCACACAGAGTTTCGAAACAGACCAGGACACACGCAACGTACAAGGACGCCCAGCGTACGACAGCAAAAACAGACGAACATGCAAATTTGCAGGGCTGGGGGGATAACTACCTACCCATATATATATATATATACATATATATATATATATATATGTATTTATAACATACATATATATATGTATATATATATATATATATCCTTCATTACCCAAAATAAGGAATATAGCCAGAATTCTCATAGTTTGGGGTCCTTATAAGGTGATGCAAGATTTATGTCATCAGCAGTAGTTGTTATTCCTAAACCCCTAAAGCCACCCTAAAACTTAAACCCTAACCCCCTTTTCAATGGAGTTCAGGTGGTTTCGTGTTGAGGCTTTATGGTTTGAAGTTCAGGCCCGCTGTTGCGGAATCCGCAAGGTCTTCTCTAGTGGTTACTACTGTGGTTACTGTATTGTTGCGGGGACTCCGGAACAATTCTGACATTGGGTTTAGGGTTTAGGGTTTAGGGTTTAGGGTTTAGGCTTTAGCAGGTACACTCCTTGCCTACAGTTTTGTTGTGGTCTCGGGGTGACAAGTTAGGGAAAAGCCTCCTAAGCACCCAACTCAACTCCACAACCAGCTCTGCATTGCGAGAAGTCCTAAACCTTTCGAGTGGTTTGTGAAGGATCCAAGAGAACTTCAGGATTTAGGGTTTAGGGTCAAGGGCTAAACCCTTAACCCTAAGCCCTAAATCCTAAACCCTATACATTCTAAGGACCCAGGGGGTGGGGGCTTTAGAGCTGGGGCGCAGATGTTTAGCGGTCCGGGGGTTATCTGGCTTTGCATGTTCCGGGGGAAGAGGGCAGGTCGGGATTGAGGGTTTAGGATTTTGGGGTTTAGGGTTGAGGGGTTTAGGGTTTGGGGTTTATGGCTCCTTTTAAGGTTAGCTTTCTCTTCCCGGAGAGTTCCTTATTACAACTATACCAATTCATGCACCCAAACCCTATTCTAGTCACTACGGGCCCCTATATCAGTCGACTGACAGGTAGCTTTGCCCATCTAAAAACCCTAAACCCTAAACCCTAAACCCTAAACCCCTTTAAGAGGCTAGGCAGAATCAGAGCCTTGAGGCGCCAGGTAAAGAGCAAAGCATAGAATAGGGGCCTAAAAAATCACCTATACTATTTTGGGGGTTCCTTATTTTTTTGTAGTATAATGGGCCCCAAAGCATCCAAAGCCCTATTCTACTTATTCTTATTAAGGACCTTATACAATACCTGCTTGAGGGTTTCGAGGTAGAGAACAGTAGCCCTAAACCCTACAAACCTCAGGCGCTACTACTTCCGACTATATGCTGAGCCTTCGGGGTAGTGCTGCGCTATGTCTCGTGTCTACAGTTCAGGCATGTGCTGACGAAGCACGCTGCGTTCATTGAACAACCTGAACCTACACCAACCCTACGACCCCCCAAAAAAGGTCACCCTAATTTAGAAAACTACCCATATGTATTGAGAACTGAAGAGGAGCCTGAGAGCGTGTCATGTCTTCTGTTGATCTCTAGCTGCAGAGACCATGAGTATGTTAAGTTGTGCTTTTTTTTGAGCAGTTTGGGTTTAGGGTTTAGGGTTTAGGGTTTAGGGTTTAGGGTTTAGGGTTTAGGGTTTAGGGTTTAGGGTTTAGGGTTTAGGGTTTAGGGTTTAGGGTAGGGTTCCAAGACATTCGCCTACACGCTCCGTAATAATGCATGAATACGTTTTTAGCCCAGACTCGTTAGGCGATGTTGAGCCTTTGGATGGAGTCGGGTTTTCGGGAGTTGCGGCATGATTTTGCACGACATCGCAATGGCATCTCCTGCGGCTTGCGCAGGAGCCCGACAGCGAGTGACCGCGGAATTTCAAAATAGAGCCCCCCCTGAAAGGTATATATCCTATGTCTCATATGCAGGAATAATTACGCAGTTCGATGGTCTACTTGTTTATTTTGCTGAATGGAACTAACCCAACAAAATCTATCAGTCGTTGGCTGGCAACCTGCGGCAAGAACCGTCAAGACTCTAAACCCGAAGCCACCCTCCCCCTTAAAGCCTAAACCAACCCCCCGTCTTCAAGCCGTTTTGGCCCAAAGGTAAGGGGACTAAGTTCTCGAAGCTCCCACAAGGCTCCACTACCTCGGACCCCTCCCCCGAACGCCCAAGGCCCCAACGCAGATCCCTAAACCCTAAACCCTAAACCGCTACAAAACCAAAGACCAGAACCCGAAGTTACATCTCTGGCCGCAGGCCAAATGAACCCTGAACCCCAAAGCCTACACCCTGAATTCTATAAACCTATACCCTGCAAAGTAAGTTTTTGTAATTTTGGCAGACCGAAGGTCTTTGCCAATGCACCATGGCTTTGTCCTTCCTTACCAACTTTGCCAAAGGCTTCAGTTGCGTTGAGGGTTTTCTTTCTAGGTTTTTGAGGACCCTCAGCCCTCAACGTGGTTCTAGACCCTAAACCCTAAACCCTTTCGGGCTTTCTTTACGGTCGGAAGACTTCGGGATTTCAGGGTGTAGACTTTTAATAGGGTCAGGGTTTAGGCTTTGGGGTTTAGGTTCAGGGGGCTCCGGTGTTGACAGCACTCCCGTGTTCGTCGAGATTGCAGCAGGCTTCATGAGCTTCTTCCTAGTGGAAGAGAGGGCAGTGATACACCTCAACTTGCCCGAATCTGACTGGAATTCCATTGCTTCACCTCGTCATGAAGGAGGTGTTCGTGTGAACTTTGGTGGTGGCATGCTGTTCTGCGGCCTAGACCCAGCCACTGCAGAGCATAGAAGACTCCTGAGCTGAGTTCAATATTTTTTGTGTTGTTGCTGTTATGTTGGCTAATACGTATTCTTGCCATTGTTTGTGATGAAGTAGTTCTCCAATACCCAGCTTTCCAATCTTCTTGGGATGTTGAAAGTAATTGCATGAGAGCCGAGAGCCGTAAACGGCTTGAAGCTCTTAAGCATTCGTACTCCTAAACCGAGGACTCTATGGGGTTCAGAGTCTAGGCGGTTTTGCGGAAATGAGGAATGAGCGGCCTGGACTTCGCGTTCGTCGCTACGGATGGCAGCAAACAACTGGCTCTGCGCATGAACTTCACCAGCGTGCCCACACAAATTCAGCAGCATGTCAGCAAGCCACTGGATAATAGCAGCCCCATGACCACGACGGACGTAAAGCTATTGGTCCCCGTGCAGGGCATCAGGAGCCACTGAGCTACGATTCGGAGCCTGCATTGAAAATTGTGGTTTCCAATCCAAAACACTATAAACCCTACACCGTACGGCTTGGGGTTGACAGGGGTGATTGTAGCTATGATCGGAAACCCGGACATAAACCGTGCAAAACTGATTGAAATTATACATGAAACCTCCAATCGCGATGAGTTTCGTGCTGATGGTCCGAAGCACTGCCGCCAGGAATCACAGGATGCACGCTCACAGTTTGAAAAGTTTTAAACTAGCTTTAAATAGACCCAAACAAATTCTGATATCTCATCCCTATACCAGGCCCAATAAGAAGCTGCTAAGTGGGTACGTAAACCCTAAACCCTAAACCCTACACCCTCAAGTAACCGTGCAAGATCCTGGCCCAACCCCTGGCCAGATAACTTCAAATCCTAAACCCAGACCATGCAACCCAAACACACAGAAGGGTTTAGGGTTTATAGGGTTTAGGGCTTATAGGGTTTATAGGTTTTAGGGTTTAGGCTAGGGTTTAGGCTAGGGTTTATAGGTTTTAGGGTTTAGGGTTCACAGAAGTAGACAAGCCACACCGCACAAAACAACGACAAGCTCCCAAACCCTAAACCCTAAACCCAGGCCATTCCCCACTCGCCGAATTCTTGGACCGTCAAGTGGGCGCCTTGAGCGTCCGGTCCGTCTTTGCGCCAACTCTTCTCGAGAAAGACAGAGTGACTTCGGCTGATGGCGAAAGGTTTAGGGTTTAGGGTTTAGGGTTTACGAGAAAGACAGAGTGACTTCGGCTGATGGCGAAAGGTTGCAATATACTTTGATATGAGAGTTTCCGAAAATTAGGGGTACGTACCTTATTTTGGGGTCCTTATAATAAGGATCCTATTATTTGGGGTACTATTTTAGGGTCCCCTATTTTCGGAAACCCCCATATGGACTAAACTCTATAAGCCCTCATTAGTGCTCTTTAGGACTTCTGTTGTGGTTCTATTTGAGTAAAGCGACTAAGGATTCTTCAACGCATTGGGTTAATCATTGTTCTATGTGCGCTTAGGTACAGGAGCTGGGTACTTGGAACAAGGTCCCTTATGGAACTCTAGTATGAAATTGCTGTCGTAGTGACTCTAAGCCAAACTATCTCCTTTCAGGCCCTAAACGGCAAACCCTAGACACCATGTTTGTGCATGTGTGTGTTTTGTTTTGCCATGTTTTACTGATACCCTAACCCCTAAACCCTAGACATGTTGATATAAAGGTTTGGGGCTTCAGTATTTTTGGTGTCGCAGCAGTGAGACTCGCTTAGGGCTTTGGGGTTTAGGGTTTAGGGCTCAGTAGGGTGTAGGGTTTATAAACGGGTTCTTTTGGCTGCTTGCATGGCTTTGATGAGGGTTTCTGATGGGTTTGGACCCTAAACCCTAAACCCTAAACACTAAACCGTTGGGGCTTGAGGTAAAGTCCGCATGCAGTAGGCTTTTTCAGTGAAGGATTCTGAAGTTCAGGGTTTTGTGGTGTTTAGGGTTTAGGGTTTGGGGTTTAGGGTTTACGGTTTAGGGTTTAGTTTAGGGTTGAGGACTTGGGGGATTTGGTGGTTTTCAGAGTTCCGGATTTCAGAGTGTTCAGTGACTCCCTAAACCCTAAACCCTAAACCCTAAACCGAGTTCAGTGTTGAGGGTTTTTTTAGAATTTGGGCTGCAGGCTGCGCAGGGTTGGGGCTTGAAAGCACCTGCACTGAAGCCTGCTTACGGTCGAGTCAGGACTCATAGGGCTCAGGGAGCTTTTGGATTAAGCGTCGGCAGGACATAAGGATGGGGTTTATGTATCAAGTGCTTAGGCTTTAGCGTTTAGAGCTCAAGGGTTGGATCTTCTGGCAATTTAACACTGATGAGCTCAATGCTCCTCCCGTTCGTTACGGGCTTTGATTTGTAAAGGAGTATTGTCAGCATACCTATAACTACTCGCTCTTATCACTAGGCAAGGCGAGATCTACGAGTCAGCGGTCTACATTATCGTTTCGGATGTCTTTTTGGGTCTTGGGTTTTGGCTGCTGAGACTCCTCACTTTCTGATTCGCAACCGTAATGTAGGGGCCGTAATACTTGGAATAGGGTTTTGGGGGCTCCTTGTTGTGATTATAGTTTTAATATACCCCAGAACCCTATTCTAATTACTAGGGCCCCTATATTTCTGCCAGTGTGGATTTAGTCCCACCATGTGCCCTGAAACCTAAACCCTAAACCCTAGACCCTAAACCCTAAACCCAGAATGGGTTCAGAATTTGAACTGGTCGGAAGGTAGGTCGGCAGGCAGGCAGGCAGGCAAGGCGGGCAGGTAGGTAGGTCGGTAGGCAGGCAGGCAGGTAGGTAGGTAGATGGTAGAGTTAGTTAGCTAGTAGATAGTCAGTTATTTGTTAGTTAGCTAATTGGTTAGCTGGTTGGTTAGTGAGGTAGTTATTGGAGTTACTCAATCGTTAGTTAACGGGTGGCTAACAGTTGTTAATTCAATATACTTAGTGAGCTAGGTAGATAGATAGCTAGACGGCTGTACAGATAGCATTCGGAATCTTTTTGTAGATTGTTGATAAGCCCCTAAACCCTAAACCCCTCCATATGTCCCTGGTCCGGGTCCAGGGCCCTAAACCCTAAACCCTAAACCCTATAAACCTTAAACCCTAAAAACCCTAAACCCTAAACCCTATAAACTACACCCTAAATTCTAAACCGTAGAGCAGAACTTTGAGGATGACAGGTCTTCTTTGGGCTCTTCGACGTCATGCTTCCTAGGTGCCCAGAGGCTCCGAGGCCCTTCCTTACTTTGGGTTTAGGGTTTAGGGTTCAGAGTTTAGGGTTAAGGGCTTAGGGTTTTGGGTTTTGGGTTTGGGGTTTTGGGTTTTGGGTTAAGGGCTTTGGGTTTTGGGTTTAGGGTTAAGAGTGTGGTCACGTCATGGGTGCTCGCTGGTGTGTGTGCACACCCAGGCCGCTCGCACCTGTGCGTGCGTAGCAGACAGCCCACCCCAAGACCACC